ACGTGAACAATGTGAGACAAATTCACACTTTGAATATTAAGCAATTTTGTGTGAAATTAAAATCAAATTAAACATTTGTCATGTGATTATTTGTATTGTTCAATCGAGTGTCAATTCAACTCAATTGATTACGTCATTCATATAATGACTCGAGTCTTTTACTCAACATTTTAATATTCAATTATTGTTAATCAGTCAATTGTTGGATTAGTAAATGTGTTACAAAACATTCATTTACATGCTGAATCTGACAAGTGGATAATGATTGTTCCAATCAACAATTGGATTGGATTGACTGCAATATTGTCATTGATTGCAATCACTGTTGACCAATACACTGTAATACATTGACAGTCTCGACATCAACATTGTCATTCATGTCAAGTTGTGTGTAGTTGCTAATATTACACCACAACAATACTGTTGTTCTTGGACGTATGACAACATATTAATGTAGTATAGTTTTGGAGGAATATCACAAAAGTAAAAGATGAGAATGAAGGAATGAACCAATGAGTTAATTGTGTTGTTTATTGATAAAAGAAAACATTGATCATTTTATAAGAATGTGGATAACGGTTATGCGTATCCGTGAATTAGACGTCATAGCTGAGAAAGTCTCTTGTTATTGCACAAGTGATGGCTGCGATAGACATCGCCTCAAACATATATGCGTCGCGTATGAGTCTGAAATATCTCGTTATTTATGATATTTCACATTACCAATGTTTAACAATTCTGGCACAGTAATGCGGACTCGTGCACCGAATTGAGTTGTCCAGCAATCGATTTTGGAAATGTGTTTGATGTGATGGCTTGAGATGGATGCCAAATGACCACGAACGTTACCAATTGTCATGACAGTTGATTGTTGATTCAAAACGTTGTTTGTTTGGTATTAATGGTTAGAGTGTCACTCATTGACCTGTCAGATCAGCAAGTGTTATTTCGGTGAGTTTCGTGTTTATTGTAGTCACATCAACATCAGCAGGTTGCACTACGGATTTGCTTGACAGAGTTGC